AAGGTTTCTTACTATAATCTATTTACTGTTTCGCCAATATCAACTGTAACAGCAACTCCTCTTAACCTTCAACGTCCTGAACGTGGTCAAAAAGATCAACCTCAGAGGCACCAACCGCGAACCCTTCTCCCGTCACCCCACCACCGCATCCCCCCCACCACCACCACCACCACCACCACCGTCACCATCTAGATATGGACCACGAGGCGACGGCGGCGCTGTTGATGTTGAATGTTGATCGGAGGGGGGCTGGAGTGGGTGTCGGTGTCGGTGTCGGTGCCGGTGTCGGTGCTGGTGGTGAGGACACGGGGGTAATGGGGGCGGCGAGGCGGAAGCACGGTGGGATGAGTGTGCGGGATTTATTGAGTCATTGAGTCTGGGTTCGTTGGGATGAGGGATGGTTGTGCGAGGGGGGGAGGGGGTTTGGAAGAGAAGGAAGCGCGTCGAAGTGGAAGCTTGCGCTATTCGCTGGAAATGATACGGCAGGATATGGTTTTCTGTTCTGTTATATATATATATATATATATATATAATACGTGTATGGATGAGGTGTTTTCTAATTTTTTTTTTTGGAATTTTTTTTGGATCATGTGTAACTAACGTAACTCGTTCGTGCGTTCGTGAATTCGTGCCAGTGACATCATGCTTGCTTGCTCTATGCTACGCTTTCCGCTCTCGCAATGCCATGCCATGCCATGTTATAAGAACCCACCCGCAAAAAAAAGAAAAAAGGAGGAAATAAAAAACAGAAACAGAAACAGAAGCAGAAGCAGAAGCAGAAGCAGAAGCAGAAGCAGAAGCAGAAGCAGAAGCAGAGAAACAAAGAGAAAGTAAAAACCAAAGAAAACGCACCCCCCTACAAGGAATAGTCAATAATACCCTTTAATCCTCATTTATATCTTCTGGCATATCATCGTAGAAGAAAATAAAAGGAGGAACACGAACATAACAAAGGAGGACAAATTTCCCAGGCCTGAGGTATATTACAAAAAAAAAAAAAAAAAAAAAAAGAAGGGGGGAATGGGGATGGGGACCAACATGTAAAATAGCTAGATAATTCAGGGACGCGGACGAAGCAGAGAGATACAGAGATACGCG